ACCACCACTGCCACAACCGTCATCGTCAACCGTCACCGTCACCACCACCACCGTCGCCCCCACCACTGCCACCGCCACCACCACCACTACCACCCCAGCACCACCACCACCACCGCCACCACCACCATCACCACCACCGCCACCACCACCACCACCATCACCACCACCGCCACCGCCACCACCACCATCGCCGCCATCACATATTTTTATAAGGGTATTTATGTCTTTTAAAACATATTTCATTTCTATTCCTTAAATCAACCAAACACTGTAATATAATTCATAAAGTCTATTCCTTCCGCGAACCAAACAATAGAATACAATTCCTATTCTATTCCTTGCCTATTTCATTCCTTATGGAATAACATTCCTATTACCTCAAAATTCATTCCGTGAACCAAACGTGCTGTAAATGTAATATCAGCCACATGTAGGCTTACTAGCTAGGAGATTGTTGGGCGGAGACCTGAAGGGTCAACTCCATCATACTGTCTCTCGAAAATATGACGGTATAAAGAAATAAAGTTGCAACTTCGCAACTAACAATAATTTTTTGTGTAGTGGTTAGGGATCGGCATAAATCAAGTCTAACCCAAAAAATCGCGGGTTTTGACCCGTTCTGGCCCAAATTGGTTCAAATTTGAGCTGGAACGGGCTGAACCCGAATAAAAGATAGCCCTAATAACCTAAAATGGTTCGGGTTTGGGATTTAAATTTCGAGTCAAATCCGAACCCGAAACAATTTATTATTATCTCGGTTCGGGTTTTAGATACCAAAATGGCCAACCCACAAATTTCGGGTACCCAAAATTAACATTGGGTTGAATTCGAACCCAACCCGTGCCCACCCCTAATAATAGTAAGCCGTCCATCTTAAGAAGTGATTTCACTCACACGTTTAAGTGTCAGCAATAGAAAATAAATGAGGAATATAAATCAAATGTACCAACTTACTAAGGAGGCCCTGTAAAACATGAAAAATATGAAAATTTATTATACGATGATAAAAGAAACAAACAAGCTTGAATTGAATGAATAGGGGAACAACAAAGATCAGATCAGTTTCTTGGCCTAATAACAAGGAAAGAAACAAGCAATGCAAGGAACCCTAACATGGCCGCCGGAGAAGAACTGATGCAACTACGAGATTTCGCCGGATAAGTATAAGAGGAGTCGTCGTCGTACGTTCCTCCATAGTATTCTGCTAAAACAACATCCATGCAAATGTAGAAAACAGCAAAAGCTAAGGTTGCAAAACCCCCAAAAACCATAGTTATTACCACTTCAAACGTCTAACAACTAGACAACCTTATTACATACTGTGTATATTGCAATATGTTCTTGTTTACAAATGCATGTGTGCTTCTATATATACAGTTGAGCTGAGGATTCTTTAACATATATGGAGTAAAATATAAATTTATAATTCAACTATTAGTTTAGACTTTTAATTAAAGTGCAATATATCATCCAATTTAATATCAAAGTCAACACATGCAAAAGGCCAGGTCAGTTCGAATTTCCATGTTGCTTGATAAAAAGAGACTATAGTCCAGTCATTACGTGTGACCCTTCAAAAAGTAATTGGCTCACACAGTGGCAAAAAATAATAGTAATTGGCCAGATATTATCTTGTAAAAAATCATGAGTATTTCGATATATATATATATATATATATATATATATATATATATATATATATATATATATATATATATATATATATATATATATATATAATCAAGTGAGAACCAACATTAACATGCGAACTTACGAACTTCTGAAAGCTAAGATTGCACCACAACTATTACATGATTGTATCGGTACGGCTTCAGGTGCAGTGCAATCATATATATATTAAGTGCAGCGCAATCCATCAGAAGTTTGTAGGTAAAAAAGAGACTATAGTCCAATCGTTGCGTGTGACCCTTCAAAAAGTAATTCGCTCGCATAGTGTCAAAAAGTAATAGTAATTGACTAGATATTATCTTGTAAAGAATCATGAGTATTTCGATATATATATATATATATATATATATATATATATATATATATATATATATATATATATATATATATATATATATATAATCGAGAACCAACATTAACATGCGAATCTGTGAACTTCTGTAAGATTATTGCACAATAACTACTACATGATTACATATAGTAAGTGCAATCATATAGTAAGTGCAGTGCAATCCATCAGAAGTTTGCAGGTTGTAGTATTTGTTCTATACTTTTCTCAAACTTTTTCAGCTCAAAGAATCAATGCCCTTACCACCGGAGTTCCCATTTAAAATGATAACAAAAGTATTATCACACTATATAGCAGTTGGTGAATAATAAACGTATAGTCCAACTATCAAGTTATATTTTTAGTTGGCCGGAATAGAACACCTACATACATCATTTAATATTTTTGTTACTAGAAACTAATTAACGCTTTTGAGTTTAATTTGTTAGTTGGCATTACAACTCAGAAAGTGGTTGTGCCATTATTCAATTATGGGGCAATATTCGTTTTTATTAATTTATGCTAACCATTGAGTTGAAGAAGCTAATGACTATGATTCGTGATGACCACGATTGATCAAATATTGTATTTAACTAACTATTAATGTATCTTTCAACTAACCGTCCAGCTTGATTGAGATATATATTGTTATAAATATATGTATTAAGTGGACATTATTAGTGTAACGGATGTAACGGTTTGTCATTATGCTTATCATTATTGTACCCATTATTACATTTGTATATTTGTATATTATATATACGTTGTAGCATTTGTACATGGGGAAGAGGTTGAATAAGAATTCCTTTGTGCAAGCTAGTGTTGTCAAATTATGAATATATATTTATGTAATTCTGGACATATAGTTATGAAATTGTGGATATATAGTTATGAAATTATGGATATATCCTACTGTTTGAATACGAATGGAAACCGCCTAACGCTGTTAACGACGATTCGAACGGGATTTTTTAAAAAAAAATGAAACGCTGTCATTTTGCAACTGGTGCACACGGTTGCACAGCATAACGATTGCACCTTGCAAGGTGGGAACGGTTCCAAATTCATAATTTCTATACTGTATATTCATAATTTTTAAATTGTAGATTCAGAATTTCTATACCGTAGATTCATAATTTAAATACAGTAGATTCATAATTTCTATATAGTATATTCATAATTTCTATACTGCAGATTCATAATATCTGTACTGTAGATTTATAATTTCTAAACTGTATAGTTATCAAGTTATGAACATATAATTCTGGGATTTGTGAATACAGAATTCAACAATTGGGAATATCGAAAATTATGAACATATAGCTCTATAATTATGAACATATATTTATAAAATTATGAACATATAGCTTTATCACATGTTCACAAACCTAATACTGTATATTCATAATTTCTATACTGTAGATTCATAATTTCTACACTGTAAATTCATACTGAAGATGAAACAATGCGATTGCGAAGTGAAAAACGCCGTTAACGACAAGTGAAAAATAATTTTTTATTAAAAAAATTATTAATCCCAAGTATAGAAATTATGAATCTGGAATCGTACCCACCTTACAAGGTGGGCACATTTCCACAGTATAATTTGCCTTGCAAAGTGGACACAGTTCCAAAGCATAACATTCCATAAATATGACAACCAAATCAAAGTCGAATATTCCATCCTTACAAGAAAATTAGGCTGCATTTGGCCCAACCAAATTTTTATAAAATGACGACATCGGTAGCCCATTACGGTCTATGGCAAGAATCATGGCAAATTATGGTCCACACAACGTTATGTGGATTATAACAAAAAGTACATTTTTAATATATTAAATGTATATTATTTTTGTATTGAATGTACATTATACAATATAACATACACTCAGAACAAAAATAATATACATTCCCTGAATACAACGTACATTATTTTTGTACTGAATGTACATTATATTTGTACTGAATGTACATTATTTTACATTAAACAAAATATGTTCCACACAATAATGATTGAAGAATCATTACAGAAAATTATGCTGTGGACTCGTGTCCACAATGCATTGTGGATACGAGTTCAAAACGACATCGTTTTCAGGGAAAACGATGTCATTTCAGTTTAAAAAAATTGATTTTGTCTCGCCGTTAACGGCGTTATTCGTTTGTGGAATTATGAATGTACAGTTATGGAATTATGAACACAGAGCTCTGACATTATGAACTTACAATTATGAATATATAGTGATAAAATTATGAACATAAAACTATAAAATTATGAACATAAAGCTTCGAACATTATGAATGTACAGTGATGAAATTATGAATGTACAGTTATGGAATTATGAACACAGAGCTCTGACATTATGAACTTACAATTATGAACATATAGTGATAAAATTATGAATTTACAGTTATTGAATTATGAATGTACAGTTATTGAATTATGAATGTACAGTCACGGAATTATGAATGTACAGTTATGGAAGTATGAATGTACAGTTATGTAATTATGAACACAGAGCTCTGACGTTATGAACTTATTACAATTATGAATATATAGTAATAAAATTATGAACATATGCTCCTATAACGAAGCGGTGTGAAATAAAAAAAAAAATGGTGGAAGATAACGGTGCCACTAACGGCACCGTTACCGTGTCCACAATGTATGCTGGAAAACGGGTCCATAGCATAACGATTGAATCATTACTATGTAGATCATAGTTTACACAATTGTATGAACTATACTATTAAATAAGAGTTAATTTCATTTTTGGTCCTAGATTTATAGGTAACAATTTACTTTTAGTTCTTTTTTATTAGGACATCCTCATTTGGTCCTAGTATTATTGTGGCATGACCATTTTAAGTCATCTACCAACAAAATTGTTGAAATATCGTTAAATACAAAGACATTTCAATCTTTTTTATACAAAATTAGTTGAACCGCTATCCTCTACTATAATAAAAACAGAAACATTTTGGAATATAAAATAAGAAAACAACTTCCCGCCCATATAAAACACTGCGTTTAGACTATGCAAAAAATATCAGGAAACACAATTATTAATTACCTAGGTATTTACAATTCAACTTTTCGTATTCCAAGAACATTGTCTCAGCCACCACTATTAAATTACTATCTAAACCAATGCTATTAATCAAAGACACCACATCTGTCCTACATGATAAGCAAATGAAGATAAGGTTCTGTTCTGTTCGTAGAGAATTTTAACCTTCTAAACCATCGAGCAAATGAAGAAGCTTACAGGTTCCGTTCGTATAGGATCCAAGAGAAAATCTGCTGACAACAACAAAGGTAAGTAATACATTCATGTATCCATAAATCATTTTAAATCTTAATTATGGTTTAATTTGCAATTATGGAATCTGCTCGCTTTTTGTTCTTCACAGGATCTGGCTTACCACTTTTGTCATTGAAGGGGTCCTCAAGTGTAGGTAGGCTGAAACACATGCCCTATTGATTCAGAATAGACCTAAATTTCCAACTCAAGAGAAGTAATCACGAACAACAGAGGTAGGGATAAATTCCATCATGTACCACATCTATCATTTATGCAAAAATTTGTTAACGAGCAATGAGAATAACACATAAGAAAATGCTGAAATATATTGCAAAATCTTATTAGTTTTTAACCAGCGAGTACAAAATATGATATTGAAATACATTTCTCACAACTTAAATAGATAATCAAAAATATATTTCTTATTCCAAGGAACAGGAATAAAAACAATGCATAAAACCTAGTCATTCCTCAAGCTAAAAAAACCTTTTAAGAAGAATCCACCATATCATCCAGAAAGCAATTTGCAAAGTTATACCCTCATAGATTCTAACTCACCTCAACTAAAAGCTTTAATCCCAAGTTAGCTGTAATCTGCTGTGAGATTCAATTTCCATTTTCCACATCCAACTCTCATTAGCACAAGCTCATATTTAAACCCCAGCACTAGCATGTTCACAATAAATTCATTAAATACTAATTTATGCTTTGGCAGTACATACATATTCATATATAAGCTCACATAAAGCAAAATTCTTACCATATTTCGGAGTGCATTCGCCCCTTTTCCGTCGTCTTGAATCCATTGCAATGTAGGGAAGAAATTTGCTTTGCTTCCTTAGGGTTTTCTTTGGGCGAATTTACCTGGCGAAATTGATAAACCCATGAACACAGAAAGGCGAAATTGATAAACAGAGATTGACGAATTTGATAAACACAGATTGACGAATTTGCTTGGCGAATTTCTGGGGAATTATTGCTTGAGCAGACTGCAGTCGCAAGGTTGGGAATTCTCGGTCAATTTTTTTTTAACCTGTTGGCGCGGTGAAATAAGATTGAAAGTACATATTTAACCCTATACTTAACACCCATTTGACGGATTAGATAACAGAGGACAATATTGAGTAATAACACAAAAGTCTAGGACTAGTTTAGGACACCAAAGTCGTTTAGGACAAAATTGGAAAAAACCACTATAGTCGAGGACAATTTTGAGTATTAACTCATTTTAATTTTATTAAATGTTAAATACTTCAACCGTAAACAATAACATAATTAATTTGATTCATAACATAATAATATTTTTTGTCCACAGAAAATGAAATTGATGTAAGTACTAAAATAAGCAGAGCTTCAAATTGTGGGGGTGATGGTACCGAACGAAATCATCTATATGGTGTATTCCAAGCATCACTATCTACTTCATTGAGTGTAGTTTCTCATGGTTAGCTATCAAGTATCATATGTGATTTCCTTTTTTTTTTTTTTTTTTAATGTATGTTTTTTTGACATAATTTTTTTTTATGTATGTTTAATTGTTAATATGTTCTAAATATATCATTTGTAGAACGTACATTGGTTAGTTCATCAATCAGCAACATATATCATGTGTCCTCAAACAATGGATCTTCTACAATGAATTTTATCCAAAATTAGAAACGTATACCATTGATTGATCTAACCAATAGTAAATGTGTGGAATACACGAGAATTAATAGTTTGATTGTAATTATTATTTTTTTTGAGAACTATTGTAATTATTAAATAGTAGATTCTCATAATGCAAAGTGACTCAATGTCTAACGTTTGGCCGTATTATTTGATTGCAGAACAAAGTCAATTGTTGAATGCCCAAAATAGCTATACAACTCCAACGAACAAATATGAGACACAAGTTACCGTACACAATTCTACTGATAATCTTAGTGTTATCACTAATGGTAATTATAACATTACATTGAATGTATGATAATTCATTAAATACTATTTCAGTCTCAAATACAACATTAATCTAAAACTTATAACGAAAGTACAGGTTATCATTGTAATACGATAACACCGTCACCCGATCTATATGATTCAAGTGGTTTTTTAGTCCCACCAACAATTAACAACCCAATTCAAGGTGAGTGTATAATAGTGTATTGTCATTGATAATTATTCCCTGTATGAGAAGTAACTAACTATTTTAAATATTTTAGATTACAGTGACGAACAACTGCATCGTCCTGAGCAATTATTCAATAACAACATGGAAATTGGACAATCTTCCCATAAATATTGTCGAAATTTATATCCTGATTTTGACGATGTCAATGACACAGTTATGTAGAACATGATTAACGGTTAGTATAAATAAAAAAATATCGTGCTTATTATGTGTAAATTGGAATATGATTTCAAATAGTATACAAAATAAAAATATTCTGACCATCGATAGTGTGTTAAAGTAAAATTATTAATATTTATGTAGAATATTTAATTAATTTTATTAATATGTTAATTATTATTTAATATAGATATAGATAATCAGGATGATACAGAAAATGAGGTGCCAATGCAGCTTGATACAAATGTTGGTACAAATCCTCAAACTCAAAACAATTGTACCGATCTAAGTGCCCGCATGTGTGAAGCCTTGGGTGATCAACCACAATGTCTTCCTCTATTACAAGAGGGTTAGTGTATAAGAATATAATTTCATAAACTATTTAAATTATTTACCAATTAATAACATAATAATTATCTTATATTCCAGTGGTAACTGTAGACTTTGGAGACCCCAATGACATGTGTGAGCATTGTAGCTATTTTTTCTGGTATGAGGAAAGACTAGGCAAGGCTAGAACTCAAAAGTAGCTAAATACTCAGGATGTTGTGCAAATGGAAAGATCAAACTGCCTAGAATCTCATTACCACCGAAGAAGTTGTACGATCTTTTTTTCACACCCAGCGATAAACAAAAGCATTTTTTGCAAAATATCAGATCGTACAATAACATGTTCTGTTTCACCTCAATGGGTGCCAAGATAGATAGAACAATCAACAGTGGATCATCCCCCCCCCCCCCCCCCCCCCCCCTCATTTTTAGGATACATGGTCAAAACTTTCATCGAATAGGTATCTTGATGCCACCCGATGGGGGCCAACCGAAGTTTGCACAATTGTATATTCATGACACTGATAATGAGGTTAAAAACCGTATCGCGTCCGTCAGGTACACTTGATCAAACCATTATTTTTTGGTTTATTCAAATAATATAAACTCTAATTTTATGACGTACAATATACAACTAATAAATTTCTTCGTTCATGTATAAGGGGATAACATAGCTACCCAAGAGTTGCACATTGCGGTGGTGGAGGATATTAAGGAGGTTCTAGACGGAAATAATGTTTTGGTTCAATCATTCCGTATGGCCAAAGCAGAAATTGATAGTAATCCAGGCATAGAAATCAAGATGAGATTAATTGGTAAGAGAACAAAAGATGCAAGGACTTATAACTTACCAACGACATCAGAGGTTGCTGCACTTATTGTCGGGGATTTAGATCCAAATATGGGCCAGAGAGATATTTTAGTTGAAAGTAAATCAGGTTTGCTAAAGCGAATTTCTGAATTGAGCCCATCATACCTACCATTGCAATATCCAGTACTATTCCCCTATGGGGAAGATGGGTATAGAGAGGACATACAGTTTGCTAATAGAGGATCTAACAACAATAATGCAAGGCATCGTATATCTCAACGGGAGTATTTTGCTTATACGCTGCATGAAAGGTTAATAGAGACTTCTAGCATATTGTATGCCAGGAGACTGTTACAACAATTTATTGTTGATGCATACACTATGGTTGAATCTGCTCGACTTATATACATAAGGACACACCAGAAGTCGTTGAGATGCGAAGCTTTGAAAGGATTGACAGATGCATTTACAAGAGGTGAAGTACATGCTAGCACCCAAGGTAAGCGGATATTATTACCGTCAAGTTTTACGGGCGGAGCAAGGTACATGATCCAAAATTACCAGGATGCAATGGCCATTTGTAGACACGTTGGGTATCCAAATCTATTTATAACGTTCACGTGTAATCCAAAATGGCCAGAAATACAGCGGTATATTAGCAACAGAAATCTCAATGCGGAAGACCGTCCAGATATTTTATGCCGTATATTCAAGATGAAATTGGATTGCCTAATAAAGGAAGTAAAGGCCGGTGAGCTATTTGGTCATGTGAAAGCAGGTATATATTGAATTACATTAGACAATCCAATTTATTTATTCTATGCAAAAAAACATCTTAACCTAATTTAATAATATTTTGTTTTTGTAGTTATTTACACCATTGAGTTCCAAAAACGTGGATTGCCACATGCACATATTCTGATATTCCTCAAGAACAAAGGAGACATGATGAGTACCACATTTATGGATAGAGTCATAAAGGCCGAGGTACCAGACAAGACCGTGGACGTGGAATACTACAATGCAGTAGAGGAATTCATGGTTCACGGACCGTGTGGGAACGCTAGAAGAAATTCACCTTGCATGGTTAATGGGAAGTGTTCAAAACACTTCCCCAAACGGTTTGTGGAAGAGTCCAGTTTCGATCAAGATGGGTATCCAATTTACATGCGTTGCGATGACGGCAGAACAGTTAAAAAGAATGGTGTAGAACTCGACAGTCGCTACATTTTCTCGCATAATAGGTACTTGCTTTTGCAGTACAAGGCCCATATCAATGTAGAATGGTGCAACCAGTCGAGATCAATCAAGTATCTTTTCAAGTATGTCAACAAGGGTAATGACAGGGTCACTGCTGAATTTTATAAAAGTACTACGGATGAAAATGGTGAAGAAGTGGTGGATGAGATTAATACGTACTATGACTGTAGGTACGTATCGACTTGCGAGGCATCATGGCGACTATTTGGTTATGAAGTCCAACATCGGACTCATGCTGTTGAGAGACTAAGCTTCCACCTCCCAGATAGTTAGTCAATTGTATTCGCTGATGATGACAACATTGATAACGTTTTAGGTCGAGAAACTGTGGGGCAAAGTATGTTCAAAGGTTGGTTTGAAGCCAACAAAAAATATGAAGCTGCACGATTGTTAACATACATTGAAATGCCAAATAAATTTGTTTGGAAGAAAGAAGTCAGAGAGTGGCATCCAAGAAAGAAGGGATTTTCAGTTGGTCGCATTTTCTTTGTACCTCCAGGTAGTGGTGAAATATACTATTTGAGATGTCTTCTGAATATTGTCCGTGGACCGACCAGTTTTAAAGATATTATGACATTTAATGGTGTAGAATACTTGGCATTTAGGGATGCATGTTACGCCCGTGGACTATTAGATGATGACAAAGAGTATATTGATGCAATTGAGGAAGCAAGTCATTGGTCATCTGCACATGTGATCAGAAAGTTGTTTGTTATATTGTTGATTTCTAACTCACTATCAAGGCCTGAACATGTATGGGAAGCAGTGTGGCATCATTTAGCCGAGGACGCTGAATTCATGCATAGGAAACAACTAAATAAGCCAGGTATTCTATTATTGCATACAACATATCTAATATTACATTTGCATACATTATGATAAATATTTATATAATATATATATATATATATATATATATATATATATATATATATATATATATATATATATACACACACACACACACATATATATATATATATATGTGTGTGTGTGTGTGTGTGTGTGTGTGTGTGTTACCAAAAAATTTACAATACTTTTACTGTTTACCAATTTACAGATCTTTTTCTAAAAGATTGTGAGAAAAAAAGCTTCGCTTTAATAGAGCTGGAGAAGTTGCTAATAGTACACAATAAGTCTCTTAAACACTTCCCACCAATGCCAACACCTAACATAGATGATTCAAGATTGGTTGAGAATATATTATTGTTTGAGGAGTTGAATTATGACCGTGAAGCTCTACGAGCAGATAGTGAAGAATTAGAATCACGATTGACTGATGAGCAAAGGGACATATACAATACAATCGTAAATGATCTGTCTAACGATGGGGGTGGGTTGTTCTTCGTTTATGGTTACGGTGGTACTGGGAAAACTTTTCTATAGAAGGCGTTGTCATCAAAGTTGCGGTCAAGTGGTGAAATTTTTATAAATGTGGCATCCAGTGGTATAGCATCGTTGTTACTACCGGGTGGTAGGACAGCTCATTCAAGGTTTGCCATCCCTATTGCAATAAATGAAGATTCCACATGCAACATTAAACAAGGAAGCCATCTAACGGAGTTGATAATCAGGAGTAAACTAATTATATGGGACGAAGCTCCGATGATGCACAGACACTGCTTTGAAGCGTTGGATAGGACTATGAGAGACTTGCTCCGATTTAAAAATGCGAACAGTGCTGAACATACATTTGGTGGGAAAACCGTAGTATTCGGTGGCGATTTCAGACAAATTCTACCAGTTGTGCCAAAAGGGTCGCGGCAAGATATTGTGTCTGCAACAATAAACTCATCATACCTATGGAGCAGTTGTAAGGTGTTGAGGTTGACAAAAAATCTTAGATTAAATCGGTGCATGTCGGGTACTGATATGAAGAGAGTAGAAGACTTTGCAAATTGGATTGCGAGTATAGGTGATGGAACTGTTGGTGGTCAGAATGATGGTCATGTTGAGATAGATATACCAAGAGAGATATTATTAACATCTAATGGAGACCCAATTACCAATATAGTTGCAAGTACGTTCCCTATGTTCATGTCTGGTAACTCAGATCCCAGTCTTCTAGAAGGTCAGGCGATATTAGCACCAACACTTGATGTCGTCAATTCCATAAATGAATACATGAGTGATCTACACATTGGAGATAGCCGGACGTACTACAGCTGTGATAGTGTTTGTAAATCTGATTCAAATGGTAGCTTACTTGATGAAGTGCACACCCCAGAGTTTCTAAATGGTATACGTGCATCTGGAGTTCCAAATCATGCTCTAACGTTAAAGGTAGGGTCACTAGTTATGTTGTTGAGGAATATAGACCATTCACTTGGTTTATGCAATGGAACTCGGTTGGTTGTTACTAAGTTAGCTGATCATGTTATTGAAGGCAAAATTATGTCGGGAAACAATGCAGGAACAAAAGTGTTAGTCCCGCGAATGACTATAACACCATCAGATCCAAGGTTACCTTTCAAGTTCCAGAGAAAACAGTTCCCGTTAATGTTGTCATATGCAATGACGATTAACAAGAGTCAAGGGCAAACGCTTTCACATGTTGGTTTACTGTTGAAGAAGCCTGTTTTTGTCCATGGCCAGTTGTATGTTGCTGCTTCTAGGGTGAGTAATCCAGACGGATTGAAGATTTTGATATGTAATGACTCTAACAATGTTGGTACGTCAACCACTAACGTTGTGTACCATGAAGTGTTTAATAATGTCTAGAATCTAGGGATTTATGTACTATACAATGCTAAGTTGTTTTTAAATCAAGTTTTATTGTTGTTCATATTTATTTATTTATTACAAATACATTCTCAATCATCGGGTTATATTAAGTCAGTTAATATTGTGTATTTGAAATGTAAAAAAAAAAAATTATAAATATCATTCGTGCATCGCATGGGAAAATACTAGTATTTTTTATATTTATCTTGTTGAAAACATTCATAATTGAAGACTAGAATATCCTTGTATTTACCGATATTTAAATTGTTTTGTTGATAAAAGATCAAAAGTGGTCATGCCACAATAATACTAGGATCAAATGTGGATGTTTTAATAAAAAGGACTTAAAGTGGACTGTCATGTATAAATCTAGGATAAAAAATGAAATTAACTCATTAAATAATATACATTCAGTAAACAAATAATATACTTTAAATATATTTAAAATGTACATTATAATTAAGAAAAATATATTATTTGAATACTAAAAGTATTATTTTGTATAATGTACATTCAATACATGAATATTATACTTTTAATATATTATAAATGTACTTTTAGTTATGATCAACACAATACCGTGTGAATCATGATTTACATAATAATTTGTCGGCATATTTCCCCATCTTGCGCAGATTTAAGAGCATGACGTGATAATTGCACGCAAACAGCGACATCATCTAAAGCGAATAATCAATTTTTACGTTAGCTTTAAATTATTTGTTTCAAAGCATTGAGAGAAATGTAGCGAGAGAAATGCTCCCAATTACGTCTCCACCGGAAACTAGACAATGATCACCGGAAGTTCAATAAGCCCTTGAACGCTCCCACAAGAAAACAAAGCTCCATGCTCCTGCAATGCATACCCCGGAAGACATGGTCTTGGCAGAGATCGTCCCTGAAACTCCTCTCACTGCGGGGAACTCTGGCTCCGAGAAGAGTCACATTAACCCAGAACCCGTTTCCTACAAGGATACTCTGCGAGGCTCCATGCGCTATGAGAATGTGGATGCTACAGAGGAAGTCGACTCTCCTTCAGAAGACGACGAGATGGATCCCCAGGATGACCCAGATTGCCCCAGGATTATCATAACAGAGGAAGAGAAGGAAAGAATCAGAAGGCCATGGAGAAGGTCGTTAATCATCCGAGTTCTTGGCAGAACGGTCGGGTACAATTTCTTCTTGCGTCGTTTCCAGTCGTTGTGGAAACCCGAGTGCCATATGGATCTTATCAATCTAGATCAAGATTATTACTTGGCCAGGTTTGAAGAGCAGCGTGACTTTGACTTTGCAAGATATGAGGGCCCTTGGATGATCCAAAACCACTAGCTTTTAGTCCAGACTGGATCCCCAACTTTAATCCCAGTACAAACACGACATGGAATATCTTAGCATGGATTCGCTTTCCCACCCTGCCAATAGAATACTTCGACAATAGCATGCTCAAGAAGATCAGAAAAAAGATCAGACGTGTGAAGAAGGTAGACTTTACCACCAGTTTGGCTACTAGAGGAAAATTTGCTCGTATCTGCGCCGAGGTTGATATCTCTAAGCCCTTGCTAGCCAAATTCACTATAGAGGACATGGTTTACCCTATAGAGTACGAACGGATCCATCAAATATGTTTTAGGTGCGGTGTCTATGGCCATAGAAGAGAACAATGTGGTCTGGAGGTAGGTTCGTCCATGGCCGATGATTCTACCCGTATGAATGTTGATCCAGAAGGGGAGCATTCAATGGTAAAACCACATGAGCCTACTGTATCCAAGAAGTCTCCCGGCAATCAAGCTCTCTTAAACCACATTCCCCAACCACCACGGTTTACAATAATCTCCTTTTTAACTCCAAGTTTGCCCCCTTGAGCGATGCGGAGGATGATCAACCTGTTCAAGAAGATGCTGTCCAGCCGGATCCTCAAGAACATACCCAGGTCAATCCACAGGTCCAAAAACAAAGGTGGCATGCTACCCTCCCACTTCCTACCGTTCCTCCAAACATCAGGCAGGTTGGACGAAACGAAACTCCCAAAAGTAATCTTGGGCATAATGAAACGGGGAGTCAACTGGAACAGCAAAACCACATACAGATCGATTCCCAAGATGAAACTCAAGTCCGACCTACTAAACCGCTCAAGCCTCTCCACCTCCCAAGCGCCTTGTGAGATGTTCACGCCAGTTATGCCAGGGGAAGAGGAGGAAGAACGAATTCCCTTAACAGAGCTGCAGCAGCTGAATCACACGTAGTGGTCAGGGGTTCAAAGAAAGGAGGAAACATCACCAGAACCGTGGTCCACCGTCGTCCCATTGATCCTGGTTTACTCTCTCCACTGGCTCCTAACTCTCCCTCTTCCAGTGTTCTGTCGGATGAGGGAGGGGATTTTCTACGACTGTGTCACACCAAAGGATGTGTTGAGTTTGTCTCATATATGGATTATGAATAAGTGTTTGTCTCATACTAGGAGTAGGAGTGAAACGGGTAGACCTATTGTATAGGGATTAGATGCCTATAAATATATTGGTTGTATCCCTAAGGGGTTGTGTCACCACTAACAGCATCACAAATAATAAGAGAATACTTTCACTCTCGTGGATGTAGGCACATTGCCGAACCATGTAAATCTTGTCTTCTTTACTTTTCTGCCATTATTATTTTTCTTGTTCTTGTTAATCTCAACAAATTGGTATCAGAGCACTGTTGAGATGGTCCGTTCAAGTATAAAATTCAAGGTATCAAAGTTTGATGGTATATGGAATTTTGGGTTATGGCGGTCTAGGGTAAAGGATTTGTTGGCATATCAGGGCCTTCTGAAAACCTTGAGGGCAGAAAATTCAGCAAATCTGGAAGAGGCTGATTGGAAGGAGTTGAAGAAGCAGGAAGCTATGAACATGGTTCAAGCTGATGACTCTTATTATAGTGAAGGTGATGTTCTAGCGGTAACTAGTAACAAGTTCGAACATTGTTTGGACTTGTTGGGCGTTTCTAGATGCTAGATGAGAAGGTGGTGAGGGGCGCTGTAGTGTTGGGCAGCGCGGATACCAGGAGGGGTCGTGGACCTGGTATCAATATGGGTCAATATTGGCTCGGTATGGGCTGGGCTTGTCATGAGTCACAGCTAGTATGGGTTGGTATGGGCTGGGCTTTTGGCATGAGTCACGGCTGGTATGGGTCGAGCTTGTCACGAGTCACGGCTGGTATCGATATGGGCTTATATGGGCTCGGTATGTGCCGGTATGGCACTGGTTAGGGCCGATATGGGTTTGGTATGGGAGGACTTCTCGGGACGACGAAGAAGTTCGTGAACATGCACTGGGAAACGTTTGGTGCTGCGTTGTGCGTGTTGCTGGCCAGTGGTAATTGCTGGTTAGTGGAGCATTGGGCAAGGCACACGAGTTTAGTGTGACTTTGCAGGGGCGCTGTTGTGTTGGGGCAGCGTGGATACCAGGAGGGGATATGGACCTGGTATGGGCCGGATGCAGGAAGTCAGCTAAACGGGGCAGTTAGCATGAGTCGCGGCGGTATAACAGGTCGACGGCTGAGGGGCGAATGGCTTGGAACAAAGTGGTTCGTGTACATGCACTGGGTAACGTTTGATGCTGCGTATGCATGTGGCTGGCTAGTTGGGATGAGCATGGTTGTTCCTACCCATGTGTATATGTGAGATAAGTTTTTTCTCCTAAGGGGCATAATTGTGAAGGTGGAGATGGTGAGATAAGTCTTTTCTCCTAAGGGACATATTTGCTAAGGTGGAGATTTGTTGAATTATCTTTTTCTCCTAAAGGACATATTTGCGAAGGTGGAGAAGTCTTTTCTCCTAAAGGGCATATATGTGAAGGTGGAGATGGTGAGATAAGTCTTTTCTCCTAAAGAGCATATTCGTCAAGGTGGAGAATTGTTGAGTTATCTTTTCTCCTAAAGAACATATTCGCCAAGGTGGAGATTGTTGAGTTTGTCTCATATATGGATTAGGAATAAGTGTTTGTCTCATACTAGGAGCAGGAGTGAAACGGGTAGACCTATTGTATAGGGATTGGTATTTGTTGAGATTAACAAGAACAAGAAACAATAATAATGGCAGAAAGGGTAAAGAAGGCAAGATTTACGTGGTTCGGCAAAGTGCCTACATCCACGGGAGCGAAACAATTCTCTTATTCATAGTGATGGTGGTAGTGGTGACACACAACCCTTTAGGGATTCAACCAATATATTTATAGGCATCCAATCGCTATACAATAGGTCTACCCGTTTCACTCCTACTCCTAGTATGAGACAAACACTTATTCCTAATCCATATATGAGATAAACTCAACAATCTCCACCTTGGCGAATATGTTCTTTAGGAGAAAAGATAACTCAACAATTCTCCACCTTGACGAATATGCTCTTTAGGAGAAAAGACTTATCTCACCATCTCCACCTTCACATATATGCCCTTTAGGAGAAAAGACTTCTCCACCTTCGCAAATATATCCTTTAGGAGAAAAAGATAACTCAACAAATCTCCACCTTAGCAAATATGTCCCTTAGGAGAAAAGACTTATCTCACCATCTCCACATTCACAATTATGCCCCTTAGGAGAAAAAACTTATCTCACATATACACATGAGTTATCTTTTTCTCCTAAAGGACATATTTGCGAAGGTGGAGATAGTTTTTTCTCCTAAGGGGCATATATGTGAAGGTGGAGATGGTGAGATAAGTCTTTTATCCTAAAGAGCATATTCGTCAAGGTGGAGATTTGTTGAGTTATCTTTTCTCCTAAAGAACATATTCGCCAAGGTGGAGATTGTTGAGTTTGTCTCATATATGGATTAGGAATAAGTGTTTGTCTCATACTAGGAGCAGGAGTGAAACGGGTAGACCTATTGTATAGGGATTAGATACCTATAAATATATTGGTTGTATCCCTAAGGGGTTGTCTCACCACTAACACCATCACAAATAATAGGAGAATACTTTCACTCCCGTGGATGTAGGCACATTGCCGAACCACGTAAAT